CAGTTTTAGATCTACTCAAACGAAGTCCTTTAGACTCTAATGTAGACCTACATAATTGAAGTTTCTATTGAATTCTTTCTCTAGTCTTATCCACAAGATGAATATTATCAACAAAAAGCATACACCAAGATACATTCTTCTATAAATATCCAGTAAAAGCATCCATAACTAAAGCAAAAAAGATATATGCTTAAAGTTGACCCCTGATGTAATCCAACTGAAATAGAAAAAAAACTTGGTTAAGCCTTCTTCTATTCAAACATAAGTAACAACTCTAGTATAAATATCTTTAATGAGTATAAGTCATGTCAACACATTTTTTCTCTTCAACACATTTTTCAACACATTTTTTCTCTAGAACTCTCCAAATGACTTCTCTTGGAACCTTATCATAAGCTTTTTCTATATCATTAAAAATCATATGAAAATCTTCCTTATTCTACTTCGCCATCAAAACCTCTCAATAGCTTCCATAGTAGACCTGTCCGAAATAATCCAAAACGATTATTAGAAAATTTTGTATCTCTATCTTAACCTATGTTTAATTATCCTATATATTAAAAAGATAATTATATTAAAAGAAGGGGGTGGGACTAGTCTTTTTGGAAAATGAGATGATTAAAAATAGATTTAAATGGTTGGACATGCTCAACGAAGTGTGGAAAATATAGACATATAAAATCAACTATGTCAAATATTTAGGAACGAAGATAACTAGCCTAAGGTGAGATGGTTAAAAGGTTATGGAAAAGAATTGCATAGAACACATTGCATATCTCATGTAACATTCATGAGTTAATTCATTATGCAAACTGAAATAATTGAGATGGGATAACACTAATGGTGATGATTATGAAAATTTGGCCAATGCTGTGGATGTTGTTTGTATTTGATAAATTTGCATGGGTACACTGGTGATCTTAGATTAGCCTTTGGGCAATGGTGATATTAGTAGTTGCAAACAATGTATTTAGTGATGAGTAAAGTGCCAAAACTGTTTACGTGGGGGTAATTTTAGTTCCAGAGCCTATAAACGTATCAAATTAGTCCCCAACAATTTTAAATTGGGTTGAAAATAAGCCTCATTGGAAACTACTGAGAGGACTGTCAGCCCATATTAAATTGCTTGGAACTAAATTGACATTTTTAATGTTTTACATAATTATGTCTAACTTCCTTATTTGCTATATGCATTAATCTTTTTTGCATATTTTTGGTACCTGATATGTTTGCTTGGCAGTGTGAAGGTCATAATCTAAGATGTTTTCCTTGCCGATTGTGTATGAAGCTAAATATTTTGTACTTTTTCATTAACAAAACACCTGTCATCGCCTGTGATTTTAACTTATAAGTGCTGCAAATTTAATGGATAATTTGAATATATTAAATATTGAGCGTATAATTGGATACGTTAATTTCTGATGCCAATAATGAGAAAATTTGCCGAATGCTCCCACAGTTTCTGGCTTTTTCATACTGGGAATAAGTAGGCAAATAAAATATTGCTAGCTGCTTGGTATTTCCTTTGGATACAATATTATTTGTAGCATTATGGCGCAACTACATTAGTTTTTTTCTTGTTCAGTAATAATGTGAATGCTTTTATGGTTGAAATTTTTTTATATTTTGTGAAAAGTTGAGGACTTAGCCCAAATGTATTCAAGACCATACAAAATATTACATAAAATTTTGATGGTAAAATTCATATAACAAAAGTTATAGTGTTCCCAAAGCCAATATATTGGGGATGCAGAGTTCTAACTTCTAAGGTAGCAGGAGTCCTTTTTTTTGTGATCTAATGTGTGATATATTGGTTGAAAATAAAGTTAAGAATCTCTAGATGAATCGTTTAAACAAATAAAGGGAGGCAGGCATGAGTTTGCAAATCCTTTGCGAAGAGCAACGGCAAGAAAATGTTGGAGGTGGGGCTTGGGGGGGGCTTGGTTGAGTTCTCCAACTAAGTGTAGTTTCCTCATCACCCAAAAAAATTAATCCAATAGGTCTCCTTGCCAGCAAAACATAATCAATCAGTTAAAACATACCACCAGAAATAATATAATTTTCATCACACAAAAATTGAGAACCCATTTTGAATCATAAGTACTAATTAAAGATGCATATTAGAGCATTAAGAGTTGTAGAACTGATTAGCTGCAAAACCGAGCTATGGGACAATGTCACAAGAGGTGTATTAGCATAAAACTATAGGGATAACAACGATGAAAAAACCAATAGGATTATAATCTAAGTAGTTGGGCTTCCAATGGTGGTTGCAAATGAATTAGTTTAGCATAGAGTTCGGATATGTAGGAAGAGCCAATATAATACGTTCAAGCCAAATAGGTCGGCCAAAGATTAATCTTGCTTGCAACCAAGGCTCCCATGAAAAAGTTGACATTATTGCCATCAGAAATGTTATAAGATAAGTATCATTTGAAGGATGGAGCATATTTAGCGTTTTTTTTTGGGTGGGAAAGTAACAAACATGCCACACAATTCTTATGTATTTACATCCAACACCCATAATTTGTTATTTGCACTTATTATGCATTAGTCTCATAAACCTATGCATGAAAAAAGTGCGTTTCACTTCACAAAAGATAGTGTTAGATGCGATATTAATGATTTGAGTGGCATGCATGTAAGTATAAATATTTAGATGTTATATATGTAAATACATAAGAAGAATCGTGTGGTAAGCATGTAAATGCACACCCCTCCCCTTTTTTTTCTGCAGAAATTGGAAGCTTGTGAGTAGCTATTTTTCCATAGGGAGCATTGACACTGCTTCCAACCATGAGAGTATAAGGGTCTGTTTGGGGAAGCTGTTGATTATTTTATAATCTGCTGATAAGCAGATTATTCTAATAATCTGATAATCTGCAGATTATCAGGATAAACTGACTTGCTGTTTGGGGGGGCTTATTCATAATAACTTATTTATAGCTGTTACTGAATAAATGATCACTATGCCCCTGTTTGGAGCAGAGTGAAATTAATATATTTTTAAAAATTATCAAAATAGATGTTAGTAATTCTGATTGTTTTCAAAAATAATTTTATTTATTTCTACCTATCAAACATGTTTTATTTATAATCAAAACATAAACAAAATTAAATAAAAAATAAGAATTAAAAATAAAAGAAAATAAAAATGATCCCAAACGAATGCTAGTAAAATTTTGAAACTTTGCTAGGGTTTGTGCATAAAGCCCAGTTATATCAATTAATATATCAATCTATGCAAAAAATGGTACCTGTAATCCATGTAAGCTCAAGAAAAAGTCCAATTCTACGTGAGAAGCAAATATAACAAGAAAAAGTATGAAAAATGATAGAAATTATCTCAGTATTGCTGAAAAATGAAATAAAGTTCTAAAATCAATAGAGGAAGATATTTCTTCACTCTCACCATCCGAGAGCATGCTGCCCCTTCGCGCGATAGATATTGCGGGAAATCAACATTGAATCCAGAAAGCATGGTAGCTTACAGAGGAGATCGGCGAATAGATGTTCTTTGCGAGAGAGGAGATCGGCGAATAGATGTTCTTTGCGAGGGCTTCACGAGGGAGTTCTTCGTGAGGGAGGAGATCGGCGAATCGATGCGCGAGGGCTTCTCGAGGGAGGAGATCGGCGAATCAATGCGCAAAGTCTTCGCAAGGGTTTCGCGAGGGAGGAGATTGGCAAAACAATGTTCTTCACGAGAGAGTAGATCGGGAAGAGGGGGCGAGGGAGATCGCGAGAGAGAATAGTCGAGGGCTCGGGAGGAATTCTTCTCGTAACGTTAGTCGCGAACGCCGAACGCATACCTTGCGCAGCGTGCGACTCCCTAGCACAAATAAACGTCGTTTTAAAAACGCCAGGATGAACTCATTAAACAAACACCAAGGCGGCGTTTTCAAAACGCCGCCGCACCCAAATAAGCTGCATCAAACGGGCCCTAAATCTGAATTGCTCCAAAATCTTCAAATGAGGGAGCGGTAAAAAACATGAGAGATGTTAAATATGGAGAGAATGTCCATTCCTCCATTATGTTTTAGGTTTGCAAGTTCTATCCTAGAAAACTAGGTGTGCTTGCGAGAGGAGATAGAGCCATGATAGAGGAAATAGAGCCCATGTCTTGCTTATCATCTTAATACAGGTTTAAAACGTGTAGAGCCTAAACAAATAAGCTAAGTATTTGATATCACTCCATGAAAGATAAAGCTTTAGCCTTCTAATTATCAAATAAGCTGATATGTTGGAACTCACTTAAGGAAAGGTGTTTGGTGAAGAAGGGAAGTCCAATGTATTTAATCTTAGCCTCCCATCAGAGATATGTTGATGATGGAGCTGAGATAATCATCATTAGCCACTTTAGAGGAGAAAATATGGAGGTTTTTAGAGTTGTTCATAAACCAATCAGAGAATTTGCCAAAAGTAGAGATGATGTTATTGAAATTGATAAGGTAAGATACATGGGTTTTATCAAAAATTAAAATATCCTCAAAAGTATAAAAGATAACAGAATTTTTGCTGATTGATAGTAATACAATCTCATGACAATCCCAATCTCTAGATGTCAAGAATATTGAAGAAAGCATTCATGACTAAACAGAGATAGGAGGAGAGTGAGCAGCTTTGCCTTAATCCCGAGAATTCAAATAGAGTAGTGAATGTCTTCCATAGAAGCTGATTTAGTTCATAAAGATAAGAGGGAATTCTTTTTTGTATTATTCAATTAAGGAGGGATCTGTCAATAGTATTAAAGGTTGAAAAATATTTTTCTTGAAAATCGTCTTTTTTTTTGCCTTTATCAACCTACTTTGCAAACTAACATAATACCTTACATGCAAGGTAACAAAATCTTTTGGATCATTTTTCATTTCTAGTTCTGTTGCAAAAGTTAGCATGATCAGAAAAAAGATTGATAAATCCTATTTTAATTAATTGAGATAAGATTGATGACAATAATGAGACAAGATTACAGATTCTCTTGTAATTATGTTCATTATTCGACTATTTAAACCAAAAAATGATCCAGCTCCTATTAGAAATATACATGAAAGAATTGAAATAAACCATTAACAATGAACAGATAATAACAGTTTTTCAAAAACTACTTATCTTTGTAATATCAAAGCAGCTTGCAGCTAAGTTGAATAGCTATATAATCTACCAGTAGTCTTTGCGTGAGCAGAATCCTTCTTTGAACTGATGAAACCTACTCCTATCTCTTAGAACAATCTGTCTTTCCTCTATCATCGATATAACTTTAAAGGCATCATGACAATCGTTGCAGACTCTCAAATTCTTCACAATCCTAATAATCTCCCCTTTCTTCAAGCTAATGAGCCCAAACGCAAGAGCAAGCTTCTCACTGTGCATCAAAACCGCATCCTCCTTTTCCTCCTCATCTATGCTCTGACTCACCACACTCGTATTCACCACGTACCCGACCAGCCTCATCTTCTTCCTCAGCTGACCAATCTTGGCATAGATCTCATCGGTTTGAGCATGCGATCGATCTCCCATGAAGAACTCATGCACTGAATGATCCACCTCTATCCAACTGCAACCTGGAGTCTTACTCACTCTCTGCTCTCTCATCTTAAGCCTGCATTGTGCTGCCTCTTCCAGTCTTCCCATGGAAGCATACACTGTTGCTAAATAAACATAGCTGCCTGAGTGCTCCGGGTCCAGCTCTAGAATTCTACAAACCACCGCTTCCCCTCGCTCTATATCTCCATGGATTCTACAGCCACCAAGCAAAGCTCCCCACACTATAACATTAGGCTCCACTTCCATGGAAGCAATCAAGTTCTCAGCTTCCTGGAGCCGACCTGCTCTGCTTAAAAGATCCACCATGCATCCATAATGCTCCACCTTGGGAGAGATGACGAATTCCTTTCTCATCAGCCTGAAATACTCCAGCCCTGCATCTACTAAGCCTGAATGGGTACAGGCTGATAGAATGCCCATGAAGGTGATCTCATTAGGCTCGATTCCTCGCTGCAACATCTCATGGAATGTAGACATTGCTTCGTCTGAATGGCCAAACATGGCCAGACCGGAGATGATTATACTCCACGAGATGACGTCCTTCTCGCGCATCTGATCGAACACCTTTCTAGCGTCTTGTATGCAGCCACATTTGGCATACATGTCGGCAAGTGAATTGCCGAGAAACAGACTGAGATCAATGTGTTTCCTATCGATGTATTTATGGATCCATTGACCTGAATCAAGAGCGCCCAAGTGAGCACAGGCTGAGAGCACACTCACAAGTGTGGCTGCATTTGGCTGAACGCCGCTCGACTTCAGAAGCATTGAGCGGAAAAGTTTTAAACAATCCGAGAACCTTTCATTCTGCGCGTAGCCGGAAATCATTGCGTTCCAGCACACTGTATTCTTCTGAGGCGCTTCGTCGAACAGATATCGTGCAGCGCGAACGTCACCGGCTCGGGAGTGCCCTGCAATCATGGCCGACCAAGTGACTGAAGTTTTTTCTGACATTCGATCGAACAGCTGTCGTGCGCCATTAACGTCGCCATGGGAGGAGTATCCGCTGATAATGGTGTTCCACGATACCACATCCTTTACCGGCATGTCGTCAAACAGCTTGCGGGCGTCGTCGAGACGGCCGAACTTGAAGTACATATCAACGAGGGAATTGGCTACGAAGATGTTTGAACTGATTCCGTGGCTAATGATGAAGGCGTGAGAGGCCTCGCCGTCGGCGAATGAGATGAGAGCGGCGCAGGATTTGAGAATGGAGGTGAAGGTGAACTCGTCGGCGAGGAGGTGAGGACGGAGGAGGAGGAGGGAGTTGAAGTGGGAGAGAGTGAGGGAGTAGAGATGGTTGTCAGCGAGTGCTTTGAGAAGGGAGTTCCATACGTGGAGATTAGGGTCAGGGAGAACGGAGAAGATGAGGGTGGCGTGGCGAGGGTTGGAGCGAGCGGAGGTGGCGGAGATGAGCTTGACGGCGGCGAGGTTGGGGTCGAGGAAGGAGGGAGGAGGCGGGTCGGTGATGAGTAGGGTTTGGAGCTGGAGGAGCTGGTTCATGGTGAGCTTGCTGGAATGTTTTAGAAGAAGGATGGTTGCGTTGAGATTAGGGGGGCGATGGAGTGCCAGGCTGGGACTGGAAGGCGAGTCTGAAGCTGGTAGAGAGATGGATAGATAGAGAGAGCAGTTCTTAAGCGAGAATCACTTTTAATTACCATTGAAACAAACGCAAGCAAACAGTAATAAATCGCTCGCTCTCTCTTTCCTTTAAAATAAAAGCAGCTGGTTCTTTTCCGCAATATATGGAAGAATTTTAAGTTTTTTTAATTAAATTATGTTCTGTTTGGGGGCAGCTGAAGCTTATTGTTTATTGAATAATCTGCGGATAAACTGATTAAAAATAATCTGCTGATAAGCTAGGTACGGTGGCTACTATAAATTTTTATTTTTTTTTGGAAAAGCCAGACTGCTACAAGAAAGTTGTCACCACAACTAAACTAACATTCTTCAGAATTTTTAAAAGAAGCCCTAAAAAAAGTAATTCACATTTACAAATCTATTAAATATCTTGTGCAATTCAACCAACTATTAATCATATGCTTTTTAATTTCTAATCAATTGAAGGTTTAACATGATTTCAAATTTAATTTTAGAATTGATTTGTCTTCAACAAATTTGTATTCGACCATGCGACTGGTAGAATACAACAACCACAGTTAGAGCATACTCCTATTTTCCGCTTCCATTTATTTTACGCTTAACATCTTTAAATTCTAATATCCACATACAAAACAATCAAATCTCCAATATCACATAAAAATATCATAATCACCTAATTTTTTAAAAAATAAATATATTTTTTCATATATAAATTTATCACATCAAAATTTTATAAATATTAGAATTGTGGTGTATGTTTGTAAACTTTCATGTTTGTTTTAAAGGGGTACTGAAAACATCATTTAAATTTTGTTTTGAGGAAATATTGTGTCCATAGTGCGGACACAAGCTGTATTCGGACAAATGATGCGATACATCTGAAGGAGAAAAAAAATTTAGTGTATTGCGTTCTTTGTTTGTACCTTGCGTCCGAATTCTGGACATAATATTTTCTCATTTCTTAAATTTTTGGGTTTGCGGCATGTTTTTTTTTTATTAAGACGTCCTAATGCTATTTGTAAATAAATCATTCCAATTATTTTTTTTCACTTTCAAATTTATATGTTTATGCATGTAAATCATTTAGAATTTAATAAAAATAAAAATGTTCGCTTGAGTTTTTTTTTTTTTTTTTGAAATTCTATATTTGATTCCTAATTTGTAAAAAAGAATACAAGAGGTTGTGCTTAACAATGCCAATGGACAAGCTACCTGTCGAATTACAGTGATTCACTATCTGTCCGACAACTTAGTCTCATCCTATGACATGAGCTTCTCATCCAAGGATTGAAAGTTGTCCGTTGGGATCTAAGTAGTTGTTAGGCTGATCAAGCCAACCGAGCAAAGATCCGGGCAACCAAAAGACTGCCAAAGCTAACTGGCATCCCTAACTCAATAAAATTGGTCGAGTGGATATTGTCAATCCAAGGACTATGAACTTCAGCCGACTTAGTAATAGGGTAGCTGAGCCCTAAGCTCATTTGTTTTTTATACCTAAAAGATCCTGTAACGCCCCAATAAAAACATGAGCAAACATGTAATTGGGTTTTATAACATATTGTCTATAAATATGGAGGTAATTTCTATAATAAATTATTAATCAGTCAGTTATAAATTAATCGATTCTTTATTGTTCACTCTCTTCTTTTCTCTCTTTTTCCCTCTCATTTTCTACGCTCTATTCCTTGTGTGTGATTCACAAAATAGATTCAGATTCAGCACAGTTTGTTATAAACATAAATATTAATTTGGAGTTGTCATATATGTAAAAACAGATGAGTCATGTGATGTGTATTTCCAAAAAAAGCAAATATATATATATATATAAAAGTAAAATTTGACAGTTTGAACCATTGTCCTATACTATGTGGCCAAGCCGTAAAATAAAATCTAAGCAATTTAGCTTCAGGATTCTTTAGGCAAATCAGTATTTATCATGAAGGGGAACGTGCATGTGTAAATGCTCCCAATAATTAATTGATTTTCTGCTTTTTTTCTTAGTTTTTTAAACATTAAAAAAAGCCTCTTTTAATGCTTGGAAATTTTTCTAAAGGAATATGGGAATAATATAAATAGAACAATATACAAATATGTTGAATTCAACGTGTGAATCATATCTAAGTAATAGAACGTAAAACGTAGAATATGAGAGAGAAAGAACATAAGAATGAGCAAAAGAACAAGGGAATTTTTTATTGATTTTTTTATCATCCTTATTGTAGAAATAACCCCCCTTTTGATATGAGATTTGTACAGTGTACATAATTATATGCTTACCTCTTCTTTAGTGAAATTGTTACAGGATATTTTGGGTGTTTACATAAATGATCTTATGGCTGGATTTTTCTATCGCTCGATAGGATGAGATTGGTTGGTTTTGGATCAGTAAGGCTTGTTTGGCTGACTATGCTGACTTAGGGGTTGTCGATTGACTCTGGTTGATCTTCGATCGTCTGAAGTTTGGTCGAATAGCTTGAGTCAACCACTTAGCTGCTTTGGTACGGTTGTTGACTATTGACACCAAGATGAGGAGCATTTATCGCAAGGATAAGACCAGTCTGACAGACAAATGGTGAATCATTGTAATTCTAATAGTAGCTCACATCATGATAGAAATTTCATCTTCGCAGAGCATATCTTGGTGAGAACCTTCGATCTCCTGGGTCTTGGAGACACTGATGAGGTTCTTGGTGATGCTGGGTCGAGATTTGAGTTGATGTCTTCTCTCAGCTTGATAAAACTTGCTATTTAACTCAAAAGACCTTTATTCAGCCTACTTCAAATCCAGATCGAAAGGTTCAACACTTGGTTAATCAAGTATTTGACCTTCTAGTGATGGAATATTTGCTCTTTTTCATGCAGGCCATCTCTGATCGTACTTTCCTCTCTTAGTCCTTTAGATCTCATCGAGATTCATACATTCATATTTTCATATAAATAATTTAATTTATTTTGATAGGCGGTGTTGTCACTCAATGTCACCATCCTTTTTAAGGCCGCCTCCCAGCTGTTAATGACAAATTCCCCCACCCCATTTACATTTTGAACCATTTGCATGGAAATTATTTCTTAGATTATTACGCTAATCATAAAAATATATAAAATCATAATGAAAATTTGAGGGCCATGCTGTATTAATTGCCATCAATAAATTGATTGTCCATGTGTAGTTGAAGCCAGCTCAACAAAAGATCTAGAGCGCCGTTTTATTATTATGGATAAAACTAATCGCAAATATTTATCTATTTATCTATCTATCTATCTATCTATCTATATATAGAGAGAGAGAGAGAGAGAGAGATTCTTGTGCCGCAAGCCGTGGTCTGTGGGTTGGCAGGGTTCACTGTAAATCCCCTCAAGTCATGGGTTCGGTCCACAGTGGCGCTAGGTTCTCAAATATTTACATAACGCGGGCTCTCATCATGGGGCATAACGCATGGGAAATCAGTATTTGGGTCTATGTCGGGCTCTCATCATGGGGCATAGCGCATGGGAAATCAGTATTTGGGTCTATGCCAAATACCGATTTCCTTTATAATAATAACAAAAAAATATATTCAAAAAAGGAAAATTTACATACATAGCACCCAATTCTTATGAATTTAAATGTCTCGCACTTAAAAGTGATAATAAGTGTTTTTTTTTAATGTGATATATGTAATTATGAAACTTTTGATATGAGAGAAAAATATGAAAATTTTAGTGTGGGATAAATAAATACTAAAATTTTGGGTATTATATATGTAAAAGCCCCCTTAAAAAATTTTCGATGAAGAATATATAAGCAATCTTATAATGAATATATAAAAACATTTTAAAAATTGGAAAAATGATAAGATAATATAAAATTAATTTTGTCTGTTTCGATATTTATTTCAATATATATATATTAAGAAATATTAATGAAATAGGATTGATTAATGCAATCTTAAGTATGATGGTGATTTAACAATTTAGTCTATTATTAATTTGGTATTGATGATACTATGTAATTAATGCAATGAATGTGATGTGGAACTCTTCTGTAAAGATTTTCTTACTTTATGCCGATAAAATTAATTTTGTCTGTTTCGATATTTATTTCAATATATATATATTAAGAAATATTAATGAAATAGGATTGATTAATGCAATCTTAAGTATGATGGTGATTTAACAATTTAGTCTATTATTAATTTGGTATTGATGATACTATGTAATTAATGCAATGAATGTAATTATTTTTACTTATAAGGTGTAAAAATAGTAAAAGATGTGATCTAATGTTTCATCCTTTATTTGTATGTCTATTATTAATAGGTTCTCTCGGCAACGAGTTAAGAGTTTGTTGCGGAGAGAATTTGGGGGGAATGTCATTTTATTCATATTTTTATCTCCTATTTATAAGAACGTATTTTGTATAATTATATAAAGGATGAAATATTTATAGAAACCGGTCATAATATCATTAATGTTCTAATTAACTATATGAATTTTATATCATGTTTGTATTAGAATTGGACTTATAATATGACATTAATTGGTTGATTGACTTACTCGAATTCGACCCACTGAGGCGATTAACCGGGTGGTAACCGTGTCTTGTATTTGATCGGCAGAGGAGCATGGTCGAATGACGATCTCTTCTGTTGTGGTGAAAGAGGGTTGGCTAGCTATTCGCGATTAGGGGGTTTCTTCTTGTGCTTTGGTCAGTTGGACTGTAAGTGTGGTTCGTCGTCCAGATCTCTCGCCGTAGTTTGTAGGTCAATCCTTGATCATACGGTTAGCTGTGGGATGGTAGGATGTCTTGATCATCCGGTCGTTGTCTGGACCGTCCAATTGCCTTGAGATTTGTACTGACATTTGTGGTGTGTACATATTAATTCCATGACTTTTTCTGCTCCTTGAAAGTGACAACTACGATGAGGACGGTAAGGTTATTAACATTCAATAGTAATAGATCGAGCAAGCCAATTTACTAATCAAATCTATGAGGTTGAGGGCTAGCATTTCCCCTTCCATGTTAGTGTATTGCCACTCGGTCTGTTTGTCTCTCACGAACGAGGAGGCTATAACGATCCTTTGGCTATGATAGTTACACTTAACCAAA